GACCGGCTTTAAAGGGTTAAACTGAGTTCCCTGTCCTGCCGCTGGCTCTCTTTTTACCAAGTTTTCTTTTAAGATTTGGTCTAAAATGAAATTATCTGTAAGCAATCTGCAAAATTATAGATTCTTTTATATGTGGAGCTTGTTCAGCTGGACTTTTATGGTTGGTTGGTGTCAGCCAGTTACTTGTGACTTTTCTAGACCACACTGACTATAAATATCTGGTAAAATGCAACAGAACCTCAAACTGTGCTGAAAGGCAAAAAAGGCCACATCGCATTCATCTGCCATCTTACCAGCAACCGAATTAGGGCGAGGCATGAAGTAGAGGGGGATGGAATGGGTGGAACCTGAAGACTGGGTGAGGCCAGCGCCTCGATCTGGGTGGAGTTTGTTTAGGCTGTAAGTGGAGGCAGCCATGCTGTCGTCCACCCTATATAGAAAACCCTCATTTCTGCTTCCTGACGCTACCACACTGGTAGACGAAGTGGACGCCACCACTGGTCGACCCGCCTGCTGCCACAGGTTGAGACTGCTGCCATGGTAACATTCTCCTGCATACTTAGCGCCGTCATCCCTCTCTGCAGCTGAGTCAGCAGAATAGCTAGTCAGCGTGGCTGAAAATTAGAGTGAAGGGGAAACAGGGGGCATTAGCAACAAGAGCTGGTTGTTTAATGGCCCATTTGAAGACAACCGCCCCTTACCTATGATCCCACTGTCTCTGCTCTCCAGTGTTGAGGTGGGGGAGGTGACGGAGGCGTGGTTCGGGGAGGCGTGCTTGTTGTTACTACTGCCTTCAGCACCAGTGGGAGGGTGCAGTGTGGAACTGGGCGAGGTGTTGCTACTAGCCAGACTGGAAGAAGGAGACATCCTCTGTGGGAAAGGCAAAAGAAAAATTATTGTGAATTATAGGTATTAATATTATATCGTACAGTTCTCATTCTTATAGTTATCATGTGTCTGTATAAGTTAGCATTTTTTGGCAAAACATCTTTAAATATTCAAATAGAAACACAGTGGATGGATGAAATAGATTTATCAGTGGAACGAGACTTACCACAACCTTGATAAAACATCGTACGGCAGATTCACAGTTAAATCTCTGAATCTAAGAGCATTCGATCATTTAGGTGGAACAAAAGCGTGTGTGTTACTTACCTGCCCATCCTGAGCATGGTAAGGGGAGCCTGGCTCTCCACTGATGACCTTTTCTCCAAGCAGAAAACCAAGCCTCGTCATCAGGGCGTCAGCTGCCTCATCTACTGAGGGGGGTGGTCCTAACTCCTCATCTTCACCTAACGAGTGAAGAAAAGGGAATACTATGCTGATGATGTCATCTGACTGTTGACTGTGACATGTGAAACAATGGAGACCGTATACCTTCATGTATTATAATCACATTATATTTTTTCAGTAATGTAGCGACATAAACCATTAGTGAAAAATGTAATTCCAGTTGCAATTATGCCAGTACTCGTGTTACAAAGATTTCAGTTTGTGTGCAGCAGAAGGAGAACGATGAAGTCTACAGCTATGGACATTCATTTTATTTTTATGGCACAAAGGGACGAGAGCGTGATGATAACGTTGAATCTGCATGCAGGACAGAAACAACTGGATTATACTGGTGGCAAGATTTGAGCTTTTTGCAAGCACAGACAACATGCTAACGCAAGGCTAGCGAAAAACCTAGCGTGATGAGCAGGGAGAGGATGAGCTTCAACAGAAGACAAAGCAGTGATGAGCAGTCAGCCTCTGTTTCTACCTGTTCATAGTAGAATCACTGTGATGATTGTTTTCAGGTCTCTCATACGCTCATACATATTCCATGTGTGTCCACCGTCCGTATTTGTGTCCATATGGGGATTTGTGTTGGTGTGTGCGACTGTAGTGATTCCACTTCCATCACTTATCGAATCGATTCCTTATTGATTCTCAATGGCGTCACTTTGAGAGTCACCACCATCGCCGAGCAGCTTATCAAACACATTACATTTGTGCAAATGAATTGCATGCTGGGTGATTACATTCTTTTGCATGTTGGAGGTATGTCCGCTCTTTCTTGCCATCTGGGTGTTCTGTATTACACAGAACACTTTTCTAATCCAGCACACATTACATTACTTTCGTGTTTCTCCATAAAATGACCTGAAACACAGTCTCATGATTACCAGCCCCACACACCAACACAAATCTTTCTGTTAGTATGTAGGTAAGAACACAAAGCAAAGATGAAAACCAGCACAAAGAGACTTTAAAACATGAAGGTAGAAATGCAGGCTGTAGCCTGACAGCTCATCAGATTGTTATCTGTTGAAGTTCAGGGTCTGGCTGCTGGGCTGGGGTCAGCATATGCTCAGCATAAAGCTGCCTCAATGACAGTTTTCTACTGGCAACCTGCTAAAAAGTCCCAATTTGATGTGCTGGGTTCAAGAGTAGACACTGTTATATGTCCATCCAATCAGAAGAAATTATAAAAATAGAACAATTCAGAGAATCTCACACACGCTGCAACTCACTCAAAGCACATGCAAAACAGTGATTGATGTTGCTATTAATGTATTCACTATCATGACCTAAATATGCCAAGAGCACTGCACACACACACACACACACACACACACACACACACACACACACACACACACACACAC